ATCCCATCTTCAGAGTAGATCTTGTGGTAGTAGAAATAATGTAATGTGTGGAATATGAAGAAAACCGAGAACTTTTTCGGATTTTATGATCATTTTGATTATTCAAAATGCTGACCCTTTTGAAGGAGGTACCCGAAGGAGTGGACCGATAATATTCCATCTTCACAAATAATTCGCAAAATCGGATAATCCTTTCCCTTTCTGTGCAGTAAAATATTTTTTGTTTTTTTGAAAATGTTGACATTTTGTGGAGGATGTACCAGAAGGAGTGGACAGATATTGCCCATCTCCGAACTCGATCTATGTTGCCAATAATATTACTATGTACAAAGTTTGGACCAAATTGGACACTCTATTCGAGAGTTATCGTGCACACCAGCCAGCCAGACAGACAGAGAGACTGCCGTACGGAGGGACAGACATCGCTAGACCGACTCCAAATATCCTGAAACGGATTTGGTCCAAAGAGAGCTAGGGTCTAAAACTGTTATTTCGATGAGGCACGTTTCGGCCGTATCTCTAGCCATATGGCTGAAGGTATAAAAATAGACTTTCTTATAAAGAAAAGACCAATAGGTCAACTCATAAATAGAAGAGAATGACAGTCTTCTGATTATGGGAACAATTAACTTTCAAGGTTTAAGTTTAAAAATTCCACGACTTTGAGAAAACCTTGAAATGCCAACAATATTTAAAAAAATATTTTAAAATAATTCCTAAGTTAAAAATATTAAAAAACTCAAACTCAACAAATTCAGATTCAAAATTCAAAAAAAACTATTTTATTTGAAATAAATCAACAATTACTTTAAAAATCCACAACCATTAAAACAATTTTAAAAAATCCAAAGATCTACAAAAAATAATAATAATAATAAGTTAAAAAAGATTTAAAGTCTTATACACGTCAATTTAAAAAATATTAAAAAAATGGAAGGTTCTATAAAAAATTTAATTATAAGGTTTTTTTAAAAATATGCGTCTAATTGAAAAAATATTATTAAAAAATCCACGATTGTATAAATCAACAATTACTTTTTATATCCAAAAATATTTTCAAAAAATCCAAGTATCTACAGAAAAATTAAAAAAATCAAAATCCAATCTAGGGCTATTTAAAAAATATTTTTAAGAAATCCAATGTTCTAAAAAAAAATTAAAGATCTTTTGAAAAATCCACTTCAATTAAAAAATCCAATATTATTCAAAAATATTATTGAAAAATTCACGTATATTCAAAAAAACCACATCTATTTAAAAAAATAATAATACAAAATTCACGTCTGTTTAAAATATATTATTTAAAAATACACTAATATATAAAAAATGTCCAATACTGTTTAAAAAGACTTTTAAAAATCTATTTAAGAAAAATTTTTAAAAATCCCCTCCTATTAAACAAAAATTTGAAACAAAAAAGCAAAGGCTATAAGCAGGCGGGCCGACACTATAAAATATTGGAAAGCCGCCTTGGATTTAAATTCATTTGGGTCGACTTCGTCCTGTCAGGCTAATAGTTATTTAAAACAATTTCCCAAAAAAAGAAAAAAAAAAAACAAAAAAAAATATTCTTTATTACTTCAAGAATTTATTTTTTTTTTAAGAATTCTTAAAAAAGAAAATAATATTCCTAAAAAATTCGACATTTTGAGAAATATTTTTAAAACTTCCACAGCTGTTTACCAATTTCCACGACTGTAAAAAATATTGTTCAAATTTCTACACTCTTTAAAAATATGTCTTAAAAATCCGGTACAAATTGAAAAAATATGAAAGTTCATGACTTCTTGAAATTCAAAAGATATCTGAAAGAAATGCTATAATTAAAGTTGTTTAATTTAATTTAAGCAATTTAAAAATGATTAAAATTGAAAAAAAAAAATAATCTAATCATGAGACAAAGTTTATATCCTTCCCTCATTATAAATTCTATTGCGAAAAACCTCCACCTTTGCTTCATAATTTGTAATTGAAGTGTTCAGTGAATTAAAAAAAAATGTTTGCCATATTTAATTTTTAATTAAATTTAAAATTTAAATTATTGAATGCTCTTTAATTATTAAATATGCAATATTGTTTTCAGCTATGAAAATATGCAAAACAGAAAGCTGGACTATGCCAGCATATTTGCATTTATTTACAAAACAATAACTCTTTAATTATTTAAAAATATATTTTTGCCTTATCACTTCAATAACTAAATTAAATCAAAAATTTTGCCATAGAATTTGGTGAAAGCACACAAATGCAACACACCCACATGCACACACACACACACACATGAAACTACTTATTATAAATACAAAGATATATCCTTTTTTTCTGTCTTGTGTGTCAAATTTTCTTCATGACTTGCTGGCAATCATCAATATTTACATTGACTACGAGACAGAGTGATTGAGTCAGGACAGAAGAGAGAAAGAGAGACACACAAACACACACACACATTCATCTCTTGTATTGTTATTTAAATTGTTCAATAGAATGCAATCATGAGTGAACAAATTCCAATTACACAATGTGAATATATTGTAAAATAATAAGAATAAAATGCATATATAATTGGTGTAGAGACAGTCGGGTGTGTGTACATGAGCTTATACATGTATGCACGAAATGTGCAAAGCAAATATTTGCATATATTCTCTTCGAGGAGAGAAAAGCGTGGGAGAAGAGAAGTATATGTTTACATTCGATACCAAGAAAAGTTTTTGAACTTAAGTAGATGCATTGTTCCCTACAAAGTCAAAGTCATCATGAAACCGACTGTTTTTATTAACCGAAAGTTGGCTGTAACCAAATACGCCAATTTTGATGGAGAGAAAAATTCGCCATAATTGATAGTTGGCAATATTGTATATCAAATTTATCCTACTTTAAATGTAAATGTGTATATTTTTCAAGATAAAATGGGTTGTTTATTCAAAAAAAGTAAGATTGAGAAAGTTTTTTTTTTTAAACAAGTAAAAAACATAACGGGCCGAATTTTAATATCCTCCACCTTTGGGTAAAGAAAGCATTTTTGTATAAATGTATCTTCATTGAAACGTGTTCCATTTTAAACTACAAATACCAGTAAGTCCGTTTGGAAAATACTGTTCAACTTTTTAAAAAACCATAAAGTGGGTGAGGCCGTTATTAGAGGACCATACCAAAACGAGAACCTCTATAGACAATTTTATACTTCAAGGATTGTCATCTACCAAAACTTCTTAAATACTAAATTTGAAAAAATTTCGTGGGTATATGTGACTAGGATTGTCGAAATACCAAATACAGGAAGACGTGGAACTAAATATTCAATGTTCAGCCACCGGGCTAGAAACCTTTATAAACTACAAATACCAATTTTTAGACAAATGTGGCAAAAATCATCAAAATATTGCCCGATACCGTTATATGGGAGCTATACCAAAACGTGGACCTATACATACAGTGCTTCGCTACCGAAGCTAGAACCTATTACGACCCACAAATACCACTTTTAGACAAATCGGTGGAAAAATGTCGAAAAAAGTCAAATCATCATCAAAGTACCGAATATCGGCAGGTACCGTTATATGGCGGATATACAAACTCGTGGACCTATACATACAATGTTTCGCCACCGAAGCCAGAACCCACTGTGACTTACAGACACCAATTTTTAGACTACTCCATAAAAAAATGTGGCGAAAATCATCAAAATAGAGAATATCGAGAGGTACCGTTATATGGCGTCTATACCAAAAAATGGACCGATATATCTCATGTCCAATACCAACCGTGCTAGACACAATAAAAATTGTTCTGCCAAATTTTGAAGCTCTACGTCAAATAATGTGGGCTGTCTCGTGATTTCAACAGACAGACAGACATACGGATGGACAGGCAGACAGACAGACGGACATAGTTAAATCGACTTAGAATTCTATGCTGAACATGAATATATATATACTTCATGGGGTCTACAAGGAATACTTAGGGATGTTACAAACGGAATGACAAAGTTAATATACCCTCCTTTTCAAGGTGGAGGGTATAAAAAAATTTACGCCCAATCATGGGTTATTTATGTGAGACAACGAAACTAAGTATTAGTTTTCATACTCTCCACCATACTATGGAGGGAATATTAACTTTGTTATTCCGTTTATAACTCCTCGAAATGTTTGTTAGACCCAGCGTAAAATTCCAGGTCGATTTAGCGATGTTCGTCTGTTTATCTCTTTGTTCGTTTGTCGGACTGTTGAAACCACGAACGAATCGAGATATAAAGATAAAATTTTGCACACACGTGTAGGTAGGCATGTTAAGTTCGCAAATCTGTCATGTCGATTCTCGTTTTCGAATAGGCCTCTATATTCGGTATTTTGATGATTTTAGCGACATAATTAACCGGATCTGTTTGAAATTTTGTATTTGATGTCGGTAATGGGTAAAATTGTTTTAAATGTCGTATTTGAAGTTCTGAATCAGTATTACGGCCTATTACAAACAATTACATATGCAGATCCACGTCTTTGTATAGCATACAACAGTTTCCACATAGGTGGTGGCTTTCGAAAGAATTTATTATTAATTATTATTATTATTATCATCATTATTATTATTATTATAATTATTATCAGTATTATTATTATTATTATTATTATTATTATTATTATTATTATTATTATTATTATTATTATTATTATTATTATTATTATTATTATTATTATTATTATTATTATTATTATTATTATTATTATTATAGTAATAATACTAATTATTATAATTATATATATGTGATTATAAATCGGTTTCTCTGCCCCATACCCGTCTACAATTACAATTTTATTAGAAATGGTATCTAAGATTATTCCTAAATATGAAACCAAAAAATATGGAGTTCGACAAAATGTCTTTTTAAATCCACGTAAATTTTAATAAATTCAATAAAAATAATAAAAATTATTATATATTAGTATTAAATATGATATAAAATAACTTTAATTTGTATTTTTTCTCATTTTCTCATTACAGTTACAAAATTTGTACGCATTGGTATTGCCGATAAAAACGATTCACCGCCTTATTTTGATAAATTTTTATACGAAACTGAAATCGATGAAAATGCCGATTTACAGACAACAGTACTCACAGTCAATGCCAAGGATCACAATGAGTGTAAGTAATAATAGAAAGTACAAAAAATTTATATTTATTTAATTTATATTTGGAATCAGGGCTACAGAGTAGAGTCATTATACCCTACAGCACTATGTGTTGTTATAAGTTTGATTGGGCCAAAAATTATGCAACACCTCGAAATATGGGTCCTACACATATATTCTTTATATCTCGGCGAGCTGAGTCGATCTAGCTATGTATGTCCATGTTAATTTGTAATCACGCTACAGGTCGCAATTATGGACCGATCCTCACCAAATTGACGGGGTTAGATTAATGTCAGAATATAAGCCTTTTGTTTTTAGAGAAGAACACAAAATATTGAGGGGTTGAAATGGACCACAAAAAAAATCCTGATTTTGCGGTTGGTCGGCCCCATACGACTATAGCCTTTGCTTACTTGTTTATTTTATTTTTTTTTTACATCCGTAAAATATGTTCCTCGTCTAAAAGCTCTATTTTCTCAAAACTAGAGGTGCAATAAACACCCAATTATTCACTTGAATTTTACATTAATTTTAAAACGTATTTCCTCTACCAAGAATTCGACAAACTTTCAACTCACAAATGTTCACTTCATGGGAAAAAATTTGTAAACGTTTAGACGACATACCTTTAACTAGTTAAACTTTATCATTAAATTTTCAGAACGTGCAAACGTTTACTCCAAAAACTTTATCTTTTGGTAGGATCTCTTCGTCTTTGTTCCACCCCCAATTTTAACTTTGTCAACAAATTCCGGAGAATCACATAACAGTTGTATTTTAAATACGACGCCTCAAAGTCTTTATACATTTTTTGGGTTTACTTTTTCTTTTGCTGAACATTTTGTTACTGAGACTGAGAAATGGGAGAAATTCCGAAAATGTTCGTATAAATCATGCAATAGTTGTTCACATTGTCGTTTCACCCAAATGAGTAACAAAGGCGAAAAGCAAGTAAAATTCCGAATAAAAATTAAAGGCAATTATAATGAAGTGCTCTGCATTACGTTTGATACTCAGGAAGTGAAAGAAAAAAAAACGTTTTGGAAAAAATAAAAACAAGTTTTTTTTTTTGTATTTATATTTGTGATTTTGTTGAAGTAAGGAGCAACCATTTCAATAAAATATTTATGTCAAAAAATATACAAACCAGTAAGGAAAAGTCAAAAGTCGGACAGGGCCGACTTTATGATACCCTATACCACTATGCTTATTTAGTAGCTCCCGTAAAAAAGTTTATATGTGGAGAAGGTCATATCAACAATGAACCTTATTTGAATGCGTATAATGGTTTTAGAGTAGTCACCTTTTTTTGGGAACTATATTCAATTCTGAATTAATCTTCAACGAATTTGACGAAAGCTATTGTACCTCTAGTACCAAATAATATTGATGTATAGTGCATAATATGATTTCGATTAATATGTATACCGGACCCAGTTTCAACAAATGGAAAAATCTGATAAAATATGATTTTTTTTTTTTAATTTGGCCCGATATTATACATATGGTGAGCAATAACCAAAAAATCGGATGAAGCTGTATATGGCAGGTATATGTATACAAATTTGAACCAATCTCGATAAAATTTGGCAGAGGTATTTTCCAGCTGCATCTGATGTCTGGTATCAAATATTATTGTTGTGGTATGCATAATACGCATATAAGAAACTTTAACACCGAATCGGATGAAGCATATATATGGGAGCTATAGCTTTATTTGAACTTTACACTAAATTTGAAGTACTAGCTTCTAGAAATTCAGTCGGAAATTGGAATACCAAATATCATTTTTATGGAGTATATATTACGCATGTGAGGGACTTAAAACCAATCAGATGAAACATATACAGGTTGAGATGAAAAAACTGCAGCCAACTTCAGACTGCTGTCTTTTCTAAAACACTCATCCGACAGCTGTTAAAATTATTCTAGTGACAGCTCCTGATATTGTTTACAAGCGTACAAAAGCATTTTGGTGAGAATTTCCCAGAAAAAAAATATTCGTTATGGAATGCAAGCGTGATAGTGTAATTTTTTTATATTTGGCTGGAAAACCGCAAGTGGCTATCCTTAGAGCACTCCAGCATTAAAATGTGAATAAATCTTTTGTGTTTCTTACCATTGCTCATTACCGTAATACCGGTAGTGTAGCCCGACGTCAAGGAAGTGGATGGAAGAAAACAGCAACCTCAGCAGAAATGGTTCGAGAAGTAAAGTAGCAACTTGATCGAAACCCGTGTCGCAGATGCCGAAAAATGGCTTTAAGCTGAACGTATCGCAATGAGCTCGGGGTAAAGCCATTGAAATTCCAAAAAGTGCAAGAACTTACACCGCAACAGAAAGAAAATAGATTTAGAAGAGCTAAAGAGTTGCTTCGCTTGGCCGAAAGTGGTGAACTGTCGAATTTAGTTTTCTCCGATGAGAACTCAAGCGCCGGCCATGGTGATGGTGTGGGCCGCCATGACAGCCGACGCTCTCCGCTCGTATTAATCGACCGCGACATCAGAATAAATGCCAAATATTATCGCGAAAATATTCTGGAGGCTGTATTAAAGCCTTGGGCATTCCAACAGGACTCACCACCATCGTACTCAGCACGCGCCACCCAATAGTAGTTACAAAATGAGATTCCTCGCTTCATTTCCAGCGCACAGTGACCACCAAAATCTCCGGATATCAATCCGTTGGACTATTGGGTCTAGAGCATTTTGGGAAGCAAGGTTGGCACTAAAAAAATCAAAGTTTCGATCACCTCAAGCAAGCGCGTCGCCGGTAATGGGTCAAAATACCACAGAGGCACATTCGGGTAGCGAGTGACGGTTTTATTGGCCGTTTGAAGGCCATAATTCGTGCCAAAGGTGACCAATTCGAATAAATCTAAAAAAATCGAAAAAAATTAAAATTTGACGCTATGTCTGATATTTTTTGCTTTCATTCAAAAAAATTGTAAAAAAATGTTAACAATTTGTTGCAGGTTTTTGTCTCACCCTGTATATGTGAGCCATAGTTATATCTGAACCGATTTTCACCAAATTTGATTTTTTTGCTTCTAGACTGAATTCAGTGGAAATTGCTAAAAATCAGGCGAATTTGACAGATATTGGCCATTTGGTGCACAATTAACCCCACATCGGTTAATGATATATGTGGGAGCTAGGAATTCAGTCGGAAATTGGAATACCAAATATAATTCTTATGGAGTATATATTACGCATGTGAGGGACTTAAAACCAATCAGATGAAACATATACAATGGGGTTCGTCAACAAGTATTGTTTGGAAACTTTCATGTCAATCGGATAGCATTTTGTTCACAAATATACATGGACTGACGGACTGATTCTATGAAGAACCTCAAAAGTAACTATGAGTCTACCTCGCTTCCTTCCATGCTACAAACAAATTCACAGACATAATTAGCCTTACCACTATGTGGTGTAGGGTATAAACAAAATAAATCAATGAGCCAATGAAATATTGTTAATAACAACAAATTTTCAGGTCAGGTGTGCTCATTTCTGCAATTAGAATGACAAATTTGTACATATGTAAGAGATTTCTGAATTTTATGTTTTAAAGGTCTCCGAATATTGTAGAAAAAACTGCTGTAATGGAATCGTATCCAATCACTGCTTTGTTATTTTTTTATGTTGTTTTTTTGTTTTTATTTCAAAAACTCTACCCACTTGGATTTTTTGAATGGCTGTCTAACGTGTGCAAACTCTTTATATTTGAATTAAATTCAAATAAAATCAATTTCTAAAAATATCCAAAATGGAAGCCACTCCCACACTCAAATCTCGCAACATTATACAAAAAAAAAAAAAAAACGACATAATCATAACTTCCATTCTTTTATTTTCCTACGACTTTGCAAATAGAATTTAATGTTGAAACCCATAACAATTTCAGGGCACAACATACATTTACATTAACGTGCCATACACATACATAGACGAGTAATAGGAGTAAACAACTTCTTAATGTTTAAATATCCTTAAAAAAGTTGTCATAACAACCCAAAGTAATAAATGTTTTTTCTCTAAAGAGGATTACGTATAAAACATTTTATTTCGTATGAAAGTTTTATCTGTTTTTTTTCTCAACTGCTGTTGTTGTTGTTGCTGTTGCGAAAGTTAAGAAGATTTCCTTTGGGAGACAGGGATAAAGCACACACACACACGCGCACACATACACATACGATATATGTGGGTATTAAGTCGTAGCATATAATCTTACATTCTAAATAGCAAAGTGTAGCGTTATGGGAGTCGGTTGAGGTGGGCACTTGGATGTGTTGAAAAAGTCAAGAAAATTAATTCATTTAAAATTGATTACAACATGTTCACATAAAATGGACATGTATTTTGGAAGTTGTATAGAGGGGACAGTTGTCAAAATATGTCAGTACTGATGATAAATCCCTGGAACGGTCGAGACAAAATCTGAGATTCTTATATATTATTAATTAGTAATTACTTTCAGGAACTGGATTCCTTTGCCTTCAGTTTCAGTTCTATATGAAGCGTTAAAGAAGGAAAATTATCCTAAAATTGAAATTATATGTTAACTACTAGAAATAACTTAATATATTTATTTGTCAATGCTGGAATTTTCGGAATCCGTATTTATTACATACATACATTCGTAGACAATAACCAGAATATAAATAAATATAATTTGATTTTTCTTTATACCCTCCACAATTCTATGGAGGGTATATTAACTTTGTCATTCCATTTGTAACTCCTCGAAATATTCATAACAGACCCTACAAAGTACAACCATTCTGTATGAGCGTAAAATTCTAAGACGACCTAGCGATGTCCGTCTGTCTGTCTATCCGTCTCTCTCTTGTAATCACGCTATCTTGCGACCTAATTGCGCATATATATAGTTTACCAGTAGGCAGGTTAAGTTCGTAAATGGACTATGTCGGTCCACGTTTTCGTATAGCCCACTTATAACGGTACCTCTCAATATTCGATATTTCGATGACTTTAGCGACATTATTCACCGGAATTGTTTTAAATTTGGTATTTGAAGTTGGTAATGGATACTACAGCCTAAGACAGAAAAGTGTTTGTGCAGGTCTACTTCTTCGTATAGTCCTCATATAACGGTACCTCCCGATATTCGGTATTTTCATGATTTTAGCGACAGTATTTACCGGATTTATTTTAAATTTCATATTTAAAGTTCGTAATGGATACTACAGCCTATGACAAAAATTATGTATGCAGGTCTTCGTGTAACCCCTGTATAAGGGTACCTGCCGATGCTCGATATTTTTATGATTTGTGCTACATTAATCTCCGGAATGGTTTCAAATTTGGTATTTGAATTTGGGTGCTACAGCCTATGGCAAAAAATTTCGTAAGCAGGTCCACGTCTTAGTATAGTCTCCATATACCAGTTTTCATTTAACTGGTAGTTTCCGGAAGTTTTTTTGAAAGTTTCCTTACAAAAGTTCTGCCCGGGCGAACTTATCAGTTTTTTACTTGTTTTAATTTTTGTTGTGTAGTTTTCACAATCAAAAACATGGTTATAATCGGATGGGGTCGTCCATGCGATACATTACGATATTTTACGATAAATTTTCTATAGATCTGAACTAATACCTCAGGATACGAAATTTTTAATTGGATTACTGAAATGAAATTATTCCAAATATCAGAATACTTTTTTTCAAATTGTTCTTCTGAATCAACAAGTTAAATAGTATCAATCGGTTTTGCCGCCCCCAACCTTGAGTTATCCAGTTGACCAATATTGTCCAATTCGTATTTGGATGTGTGAAATTTGAAGAGAGTTTTTTTATGCTTATTTCGCGTTTTATGAGCGTACCGTTTTTCAGAACTCTGACCAGAGGGGAGATATCAGAAGGAGTGCGCCGATACATCCCGTTTTCACGGCAGATATTGTGTTAGTAAAAATAAATTTGAAGAGAACCGGATGGTTATTTCGGATTTATGATCGTTTTTATTATTCAAAAATTTGACCCTTTGTGGGGAGGTACCAGAAGAAATGGTCCGATCTCTACCATCTTTATAACTGATCTCGTGTTGATAAAAATATTGAAATTTGCCAAATCTGAATGGATTCGGATGTTAATTTTGTGTTTTATCAGCTTCATGGATATTCAAAATGTTGACAAAATTTTTTGATATATCTCATCTTCACAGCAGATCTTGTGTTAGTGGAGACAATGGGATGTGTGAAATATGAAGAGATCCGGATGATTAATTTGGAATTCTGATCATTTAAGTTAATAAAAATTTTGACTCTTTGTGGGGGAGGTACCAGAGAGAATGGTCCGATACCTATCATCTTTATAACAGATCTTGCGTTGATAGAAATATTGAGATGTTCTAAGTCTGAATGGAATCGAATGTTAATTTCGCGTTTTATGAGCCACATGAATATTTAAATTTTTGACCCTTTGTGGGAGAGGTACTAGAAGGAAAGGATCGATATATTCCACCTTCACGACAGACCGTGGGTTAGTAGAAATATTGTTGTGTGTGTAGTTTGAAGACAAAGTTTCGGATTCTTGAATTACATTTTATAAGAGTTTAAAGTATTCAAATATTTGGACCTTTGTGGGGGAGGTACTTGATTAAGTTGATCGATATTGTCCATTTCCGCACCTGACCGAGAACTGATGCAAATATTAGGATTTGCAAAGTTGGAAAAAAAAGATTATCCTTTCTCTGTCTGTGAAGTGAAATATTTTTTTTTTTTTTTTTTTTTTTTTGTGGAAATTTCGACTTTTTGCGGGTGAGGTACGAGAAGGAATGGACAAATATTGTCCATTTCTGAACTCGACCTAAGTTTGATAATAATATTATCCAATCGGATACTGCCTTGGAGAGTTATCATGCGCACCAGCCAGAGGGACAAATGAACAGACGGACATCGCTAGATCGACTCCAAATGTTCTGAAACAGATTTGGTCCAAAGAGACCTAGATTCTAAAACCGTTATTTCGATGAGATACATTTTGGCCGTATCAAATGATATATACCCTCCCTAGCCATATAGCTGAGGGTATAATTATATGATTGACAGAGTTAAGGCTAATCAGACACCCCGAATGGCAGCATTAAATCGATACCAAAATATGTGAAACCTTTGCATCAATAGGACTGAATATACAAACAAAGTTGGAATCTCATCATAAAAATCTATTACAGCTTCATTATCTTTTAAAGCCCCATATGACTTCATTTTTCTATTTATTTACCCTGCACCATACTACCGAAATACACTTCGAAATATCCGCTATTTGGAAATGTCAGTCCGGCTGTTTGTCTGTCCGTTTCTGGAAATCCCAACCCCATATTACGGTTCTTTAGAGCTTAGGCTGGCCAGAAACCTTCCAATTTTGATGGTCATCGGGTAATATTTAGTGGTTGAAATAGACCATAGCATTTGTGATTCATAAAAGTCAAATTTTCCATTAAACCGCGAAGATTTTTAATGCCTGCGAAATCACAAACAGACGAACTGGTCAATTCTGACCTTTACGTAGATGCCGATAGTAAAAATATCGGATATATATAGCGAAATATATAAAATGTATATATACAAAGGAAGGGGATGTTAGCTAGAATGCTTATATCTCCAGAATGGCTGGAGCGATTTTGACAAATTTTGTCAATTTAGAATGCCCTCTAAGCATTCGATTTCTTCAATTTGACTTATAATATTGAGGAGTACCTTTTGTAATATTTTTTCACCTTACAACACAGGTTGGGGTTATTACATACAGATTGCAATTATCGTTCGATCTTCACGAACATTTTTACAAGGGTAGGGTTAGGCTCAGAAGAGCTATTGTTTTCAAAGATGACCGCAATATATTTAGGGGTTGAAATGGACCAACCACTAAAAATGTTCCTGATTTGGCAACCGTTATAAGGTCGCAAAAAGGAACCAAAGGACACGAAATCTCGCATGTAGTTAGGGTTTAGGACAGCGGGTAGAATGTACCACTACTTTTGTGTGCAAAAAATACCAACATTACTTACAAGCGATATCCGAAGTACACAAAAGGCGAACTTCTAGCTTTTTTATGCTGATTTCGTTAATGAATATAGCCAAATATCGTAGTCAAGCAAATCATATACATGCAGAGCGGCTTATTGCTTTTGGAGATGATCGCAAAATATTAAGGGGCTCAAATGAAACAAAAACAGAAAAAATCCTGATCACACAATGCAGCCAATCGACATGCCTGAGAAGAGAGTTAAGGATAGGGAAGAATTCTAGCTTTTTGGATGACCATTGGGTTATGTTTAGCTGTAAAATGGACCACAACAACTAACAGCACGACGGAGTGCGCAAATGTCCCTGGAAAAAATGCTAAGGGCAATATCTGGGTAGTGCTCCATGACAAAATTTCAAAAGCGAAATCTTCTAAAATGGACTTGGACATAAGGGTGCTTCTAACATATTGTAGTGTTGTAGGGTATCACATAGTCGGCCCCGCACGACTATAGCTTTTGCTTACTTGTTTTAAATAAAAAATTAATAACATTTATATATTTTTATTTTCATTTCAGCCTCGAATATTCGATACGCGATTACAGGCGGTAACGTAGGAAATGCCTTTGGCGTACACAATAATACAGGCGCTATTTACGTAGCATCACCACTAGATTACGAAACAAGACCAAGGGTAAGTCAAATTTAAAATAAACTACATTCATAATTAACAATTTACAGATAATTGCATACACTGGTGGCCAAAACTAAAGCAACTAAAATCGCAAAGACAATAAATGCCCTGTAACTTTTACAAAAATTAATCAATCGTAATTATTTTTCCAGTTTTGCATGAGGTACTGTATTCACTTTTAAAAGACTAAAAACAAAAATACAAAAAAAAATTTGAATGAAAAATAATTAATGGGAAACTAAAATGACCCAATTTTTGCCTGGTCAAAACTAAAGCAACTTTTTGATTTTTTATTTTAAAATAATTAATTTTGACTAGTAGTCGATAGTATAACCATTATTTTTGACAACAGCTGAACACCTACGAGGCATTGAATCTATAATATGCTCAATTTGATCCTTGGGTATGCCTTCCCAGGCACACTGAATTCTTTCGAAAATGTTGTGTGTATTTGTTTCCGAATCTCGCTTGATCTTCTTGTCTACGATACTCCAAAGGTTTCTATGGGGTTTAGGTCAGGTGCCGGCCATGACAAAACACCGATTTTTGACTCCCGCAACCAATCTTCGACAAGTTTTGAGGCATGTTTGGGATAATTGTCATACTGAAACACTCAAATAAACCGAATATTTTCCTCAGCTAAAGGGTACAACGTGATGTCCAACACATCTTTGTAAACAAACCGATCCATAACTTCAATTATTTCATGGATAGGCCCAAGTCCATAGAAAGAAAAATAGCGCCAAACCATTTTTGACACTCCCTCATGCTTCACTTCACCCTTGCAACACTGCGGCATGAGTCTTTCTTTTTTTTTTTGGTTTTTTCACCATATTTTTTTCATGTCTAAGCTTTTTATACTAAACGTAGACTCATCCCAGATCAAAATGTTTTTCCATTGAGCTGGATTCCAATTAATATTATCGTTTCCGAAAGCCATCCTGGCTTTCCGTTTTGTTTCAATATAAATGGCTTTTTTGATAACTTACGGGCACACAGACCAGCTGCCACTACTCGTCTACGCACTGATCTCGAGCTTATATCCAATGAAAGCTCTCTTACCAATTCAGTTGAACTCTTAAATGTTTGTTTTTTTTATTTCTCTCACAATTTGTTGATCAGTACAGACAGAAAATTTTCACAGCCTTCATCCTTTATAGACTGTTACTACTGATCCAGTTTCATAAAATCGACATAGTATACGAGAAATCACAGGAATATCTATGAAATATTTCTCGGAAATCATTTTCTACGATAGCTTGTTTTCAAAGTCAATGACAATTTTCTGTTTTATTCATGTACTGTATTTGCTTCCAGCCATTTTTAAACTTTTTTGGGCAGTACTTAAAAAAAGTGAAACCAAACAGGTGCTGTTGTAAAATCTTCTCAAAAATGAATTATGACAAGTGAAATTGTTGAAGGAAGCAAAAAACGATAAATATAATAGTACAAACAACTGAAATTTCAGCGATCATATAAATGTACAACAGAGTTGCTTTTGTTTTGTCCAAGCCAAAATCGGGTAAATTGACTTTACCATATATTATTTTTTATATAAAAATGAATTTTGGTTTTTTGTTTTAAGTTTTTAAAAAATGAATCAAGTGCCTAATTTAAAACTAAAAAAACTTTCTCATTTTCTTAATTTTTAAAAAAGTTACAGGGCATTCATTCTCTTCGTAATTTCAGTTGCTTTAGTTTTGGCCACCAGTGTATGTGTGTGTTAAGACAGTGGAATTTTCAATTTTTCATAAAGGACAACATAATTTTCAATACAATAAGCAGTTATGCTTGTTTGATTTAAATATTAGAAATTTCAAAATTAGTAAAATTAAAAAATAAATGCTTCTTATGTATCGTCCAACACAGTAAAGAGCTTAAATAAAATGTTTGAGCACCGTAGATGAGCTATGTAAATTCTGTAAGGGCCACTCGTGCACAAAAACTGATTTGTTTTTCAAACTGATAGATTAAAATCCTCTTATTTCACCCTTTTCCCCCAAACATCAAACATTAGAAGATTAATACAAAATTTTGCAAAAATCGCCTTAAAGCCCCCCAAAAAAGTGCAAATTGATTTTTAAGCTATTTTAAATGAACTTGAAAACAAAAACCGCTCACACACACACTCATGACAGAAATCTCAAATATGACCCCAAAAATGTCACCCGAATGTCGAATAAGTCGAAGAACAACAGCCAAAACATTCCCTCCAAAAAAAAAAAAAGAGGTCATCATCTTCTTCCCAGAGTGCAATGCACTCAAGCACTTTCTGTCTACTTTAAAAATACATTATTCATAATTTTTTTGTGTGTCCCATACATTTGCAAAGCTAAGTCTTCCGTAGCCAGTAACAGAAATAATGCAGAAATAAAAAGTTTTTGTAGAGAGAAAAAAACAGACTTTTTAACGTAAAACATTTTTCATTTGTAAGTAATTTTGGAGTTTTTGCTGTTTTTTGGCAACGCCAGTCGTAAAACATGGCAACTATTTGCACACAAATCTATGTGTGGAGAGATGAGTGTGTGTGTGTGTGTTTGGCTTTATGCTTTTGAGTTTTTAGCATGTGAGAGCTAAAGATTTGTCGAACGAAAAAGAAAAATGTGTGGAGATGACAAAGTAAAAAATCCCATTAAGTTTGGTCAAGATGACTGCTATGCATCCTTCGCTATTGAGGAAAAAATGTGAAAAATTGAAGGAAGACTTTAAATCTTTTATACAAAATCAAAAATTTTTAATCAACAAATTAATCTCAAAAAAAAAAAAAAGAACAACAGGACCTCGGTGTTTCCTCTCTTAGAATACATATAAGTCGATTTAGCAGCCTTTTCCATTATATTCGAATAGTACGTAGAAGTGGAAAAAGAATGGTAAATTGTGGTATGGTGTGGGATTTAAATAGCGTGTAGCGAACAGAAAATTTAGAAAGCACAAAAAACACAGCAGCTTCCGCTAATGTGATTTTTATTCCACAAAGAGTTTTCGCGTGTCTTTTGTGAGATTTGTAAATTAGCAGACAAATGCATGAACATTATTATGTTAATATACCCAAAAGTTGTCGAGTATTTCTTAAAATAAAATCCAAAAAAAGAGAAAATATGCATATTTGATTGGGCTGAGGTTTTAATGGGTTTGAATGAGAAGAGAAAACCTACCGAATGGTTTGGCTGTTGATTCAGTTCTAATTTTATTTTTAAAATATGTTTCTTACGTACTACTGAAACTAATCTAACTTAACCTAGTCGCAGTCACATAATTGTTCTTATCTATTCTTATATTGAATGGAGAACATTGCGGGGCTGCTTATCATTTCATTCTAGTGGTCTTGTGCATCTACTGAGCGCATCGACATCTGTGCGTGTGGTTCATAACCTTTATTATCTGACACATTATCGTATACGTCACCGCACAAGATCACCGAATTGTTCACATGTGGTATTTTATGGCGGCTGGGAAATATGTAATTTTTGAATATTGATTGTTTATTTCCAGTTTTTCCCAGCGCCTCAACCGCACTCAAAAGTATGTACAAAGTATTTTGTACAGGGTTCTTAAAGGATTATTAACAAAAAGAACTTGTACTTTTTTAAAAGTCTATCAGAAATATGAATCCGGATTATATACGAAATTTTTTTGAAGGTTATCAATGCAAAAAAGTGGGTTTTTTGAAAAAAAATTATATGATGGACTGTCAAGTACGCTATGGTTATTTTTAAGAATTTTGTTTGAAAAAATTTATTATTGCAAGGGTAATAGATATTTATATTATTTTTGAAGAATTCTCAAATCTATCAATGCGGATGTCAAATCAAAGTATGACACATTATTATTGAAACGACGATTTTTAAGAAAAAATGAGAAGTTGCAGAGCTATGAATAGGACTTGATAGAATATTTTTTTAAGAACTTCAAGGAAGTGAATTTAAAAAATAATTAATAATTTTTATAAAAAATATAAATAATAATAATAATAATAATAATAATAATAATAATAATAATAATAATAATAATAATAATAATAATAATAATAATAATAATAATAATAATAATAATAATAATAATAATAATAATAATAATAATAATAATAATAATAATAATAATAAAATAATAATAATAATAACAATAATAATAATAATAATAATAATAATAATAATAATAATAATAATAATAATAATAATAATAATAATAATAATAATAATAATAATAATAATAATAATAATAATAATAATAATAATAATAATAATAATAATAATAATAATAATAATAATAATAATGATAATAATAATAATAATAATAATAATAATAATAATAATAATAATAATAATAATAATAATAATAATAATAATAATAATAATGATAATAATAATAATAATAATAATAATAATAATAATAATAATAATAATAATAATAATAATAATAATAATAATAATAACGACTTTCAGGGCCAAGCTTATGTTTTTTCTAATAATGAGGAATTTTACACATACACATAAACGTGGATTTTATAAGAATATTTTTAATACTTTCTGTGAATGAAAGTTTAAAGAATACTTTTCTTAGGACTTTCGGAGCTATAAACGTGGAAAAATGTTTAAGGGCTTTCTAGTATCAGAGCTTCATGTGAATGCGAATCTTTAAAGAACTTTTTCAAGAGCTACTTCGTGATTTTTTTAAAAAATAAAAATTATGGTCTTTCTGAGCTACATATATGGATCTTATACCTTATGCCACACTGCGGGTATAATGTTATTGTAAATTTGTTTGTTCTGAGTCAATTTATGCATATCCGTCCGTCCATGTATTTTTGTAAACAAAGTATGGTTTGCATTTATTGTCCGATCGAGATAAAAGTTTCCTGGTGCAACAAGGACACAAGGATGAACCCTATGAAAATTTTTAGAATTTGAATATAGCTCCTAAATATATCTTTATCCGATTTCACGTTTATTGTGCACCAAATGGTGTTGATTTTGGCTCAAATGACCAAATTCAGGCTAGAATCAAGTATGTAAAATTTGTATTTTCTTATTATTATTTTTCAAACCTTATGAATGTGGTTGTCAAATCAAACTATGAAATATCGCGAACGCATTATAATTTTAGCACTTCCAGATCTATGAAATTGGGGATTTGAAGAATATTTATTAAGGACTTAAAGGGCTATGTATTTCTTCAGAAAAAAAATTGAAGGACTTTCAGCGATACAAACGTTGACTTTTAAAGAATAATAAATTTTGCACAGAGCTATAGACTAGGATTTTTTAAGAATAGTTTTTAAGGACTTTTAGAGCTGCAAAGTGGAATTTTTAAGAATATTTGTTAAGGTCTTTCGAAGCTGGAAACGTGAATTTATATAAGAATATTTTTAAGGACTTCCAGAGGTAAGAACGTGAATTTCTATAAGCATATTTTTTAAGAACTTTCAGAGCTAATAACCTGGATTTTTATAAAAATATTATTCTATGGACTTTCAGAGCTATGAATATGGATTTTTATAAAAATATTTTTAATGACATTCAGAGCTAAAAATGTGGATATTTAAGGATCATCATAGCTATAAACTTGAATTTTTATACCCTACAACACTATGTGTTGGGGGTATTATAAGTTTGATTGGGTCAAAAATTATGTAACACCACGAAATTTCCCACATAGGAAAGTATATATGGATCTTCCTATCTCGCCGAGCTGAGTGGATCTAGCTATGTATGTCCGTCCGTCCGTCTGTCCGTCTGTCCATGTTAATTTGTAATCACTCTACAGGTCGCAATTATGGCCCGATCTTCACGAAATTTAGAATGGAGGTGGGGTTAGGGTCAGAATAGAACCCTATTTCTTTTGGAGATGATCGCCAAATGTTTAGGGGTTGAAATGGACCAAATACTGAAAAAATGTCGGATTTTGCAGTAGCTATACAGGTCGCAATTATAGGCCAATCGATGCGGAATTTCGCATGTAGCTAGAGTTTAGGGCGGGGAAGCAGCCTACCAATTTGGGTGGTCATCGGATAATATTTAGCGGGTAAAATAGACCATATCTTTTTTGTTGAAAAATTCAAAATTTTTCATTAAAGCGCGAATATTTTAAACCCCGGCGAAATCTCAAAGCCATGACAAGGTTACTTCTGATCTTTACATTGATGTAAAGATCCAAAAAATCGAATATATAGCAAATATATGCGATATATATGTCTATCAAAGAAGATATGCTAGAAAGATCTCATATATGTCGAAAACGGCTGAACTGATTTCGACAGTTCTCATTAATTCAGAACGGCCTCTTGGCAGGAAAGGAAAAACGTCTAAAAAACGCATACAAATATCTCTCTAAACATAAAAATATTGATTTTGTAACATTTTCTCATATCTAAGTAGTTAGGATATCAGGATATCATATACAGATCGCATTTATGGCCCGATCCTTACGAAATTTTGCATGGGGATAAGATGAGAATCAGAATAGAAGCCTACTCTTTTTGGAGATGATCGCCATATATTTAGGGGTTGAAATGGACCAAAAACTGCAAAATTGTCAGGAGGTCGTTATTATCGCCCGATCCTCACGCACATTTGAAAGGGGGTTACCGGACATTGCAAAAGCCAAGCCGTTTTGGATGGCCATCCAAAAATATTCAATGTGTGAAGGAGTTTGCCAACTTTTGTAGACAAAATACGAAAATGTCCATTCCAGTGACTTTTTGGAGAATTCACAAACACAGGGAAGACGCACTTCTATTTCGTTAACGCTGATTTCGTTGAAGAATATAGTCAAATGTCTGTATCTCATATAGATGTGTTTCAGTCAAAAACCAATAATAAATGTTAATCTTTTGCCACTTCTGAGAGATTATAGGTCTATGGGAAATATTGGTTCCAAATCTAGTGCAACATCTACCAATAAATTGGAAATGAGCAAATTAGTTTAAGTTGCTATTATTTGAACATTAGAGAACGAAACCTGATGGTTTTCTTTTATTATTTGTCACAATATCTTGTGGAATTCCTTCGAGTATCTCGCCTATATAAACAGTATCGTTATTATAGTGTTGTAGGGTATTCAACGGTCGGGCCCGCTCGACTGTAGCCTTTGCTTACTTGTTTAATAATATTTTTAAGGACTTTCAGAATTATGGATTAGAATTTTTAAGGACTTCCAGAACTAAGAACGTGGATTTTTAAGAACAATTGTTTAAGGACTTTGAGATCTATGAATGTGGATTATTAAGAAATATTGTTTAAGGACTTTGAGATCTATGAACGTGGATTTTTAAGAAATATTGTTAAAGACTTTCAGATCTCTGAACGTGGATTTCTAAAAAATATTTTTAAGGGCTTTTGCTGCGTGACAGATTTAAATTCGTGAATATTTAAAATTTAAAACAAGTTAGAAAATATCATTCGGTTTTGCCGACAGATGTATACCCTCAGCCAATGTTCGGTTATTTAAATATATTTTGACTTCTATTATGATTATTCAAATTGTTGACCCTCTATGGAGTAGGTTCCGAAAGAATAGGCTAATATTGTCCATTTCGTATTGGACTCTAGTAAATATGATATAAATATTGCGACGGGTCAGATTTGGACTATATCTGGCTTCTTCCTTCGCTTTATATGAGATATGTGATAATTTATAGAAAATGTAGGAATAATGGGATGCGTGCAATTTCAAGGGAATCGGCTGCTTATTTCTGATTGGAAAACTGTTTTGTTTTGTAAACCAGGTAACAGAAGGAATGGTCCGAGCTCTACCATCTCCATAACAGGTCTTGTGTTGATAAAAATATTGAGATGTGACAAGTCCGAATGTAATCAGATGTTAATTTCGTTTTTATAAGTTTCGAGGATATTCAAAATGTTGACCAATTGTGGGGAAGTACCAGAAGGAGTGGACCAATACATCCCATGTTCACAGCGGATCTTGAGTTAGTAGAAATAATGGAATGTGTGAAATATGAATTGAACCGGATACTTATTTCTGATTTTATGATAGTTTTGGTTATTCAAATTTTAACCCTTTGTGGGGGAGGTACCAAAAGGAGTGGTCGGATCTCTACCATCTTCACGATCTTACGTTGATGGAAATATTGCGATGTGCCAAGTCTGAATGGAATCGGATATTAATTTCGCGTTTTATGAATATTCAAAATTTCGACCCTTTATGGAGAAGGCACTTGACGGAGTATACCAATCTTATCCATTTTTGAACCTGACCTAGTACTGAAGCAAATATTAGGATTTACAAAGTTGGAGCAAAATCGGACTATTGTTTCTCTTTTTGTGCAGAATTTTTTTTTTTTTTTTTTGTGAAAATTTCGACCCTTTGTGAGGGAGCTACCTGAAGGAGTGAGCCGATATCTTACATTTTAAAATCAGACCTTTTGTTAATAAAAACATTGTCACAGTTTGGTACGGTCTATGAGCTCGAAACATAACTGGACCGTAATTTTAAGGCTACTGCGGCTTTAACAAGACGGATTGAGATTTTTTTATTTACTTTTTTTTTGTGGGACCATGACATGGTCTTCTTCAAATATTAAAGTATATTTATAACAGTGCTATAAATTCAAATAAAGATTTCCATTTTCCATTTGTTGTAATTTATATACCAAATTTTAAAAATACATTTTTATCTACTTAAATGTTTAATAACATTTAAATTTTTTTTCTTCCCTTACAGTACGAGCTAAAATTGGAGGCGTCACGTAATCGAAAAACCAATTACACCACCGTTATAATAAATGTACGCGATGTTAATGATAATCCACCGACATTTGATCGTCAAACATATCGTACACAAATTACCGAAGAAGATGATCGTAATCTACCAAAACGTATATTACAGGTAAGTTTTCTGACACAAAATCATAGTTTATACATGTTGTAAGGCACAAGCATTGGAAAGGAGAAGAAAACGTATTGTTTTCTAAAAAAAACTTCAAGTTTTTGAGAATAACTCAAAAAAACTGCAATTACCCTGGTCAAACTTTTAATGCCAACATTAAACAGGAGGTAAAGGAAATTTTTAAAAAAAACGTGGGAAAGTATGGTTGCGTGGTTTAAAGGGGTTTCACTTTAAACTCTGAATGAAATGCTATGAAAAATTTTACTCAAAATATAAAAGCAGTGGTGCCATTTTATAAGGGCTATAAAAAACTGAACCTACATGGATGACTTTTAGCTGGAGGGGTTATGAGTACTAAATTGCAAAATTGAAAAATTGTTTTTGAAATCTAGAATTATATCGGGAGATACCGTTATATGGAGGCTGTAGGAAAACTTGAACCTCTTCGGACAACGACTGTACCAAGTTGACATCTATTATGAAGAGTTAAAAAATTTTAAATTTTTTTTTGAAAAAAAAAAACGAGGACAAAATATATACAGGGTGAGATAAAAAAATGCAACAAAGTCTAACGGCATAATTTTTACATTTTTTTAATTTTATTGAATAAAAGCAAAAAATGCCGGAAATAGCATCAAATTTTAGAAAAGGTTTAGATTTGCTCCATTTCCATTCACGGCGAAGCACTTGCTTGAGTTAATCGACACTGTGGTATTTTTTAGTGCAAAATATTTCAGAGACAATAGTCCAACGGATTGGTATCCGTAGATTTTGGTGGCCATTGTGCGCTGGAAATGAAGCGAGAAACCTCATTTTGTAACTAATTCTTGAATGGCGCCTGCTTAGTGTAATGGTGCTGAGTCCTGTTGGAATGTCCAAGGTCTGCGGCCAAAATGTTTGCGTGCCCAAAGCTATAATACACCCTCCAGAGAATTTTCGCGACAATATTCGGCATTTATTCCGATGCCACGGTCGATTAATACGAGCGGAAAGCGACCATCGGATGTTATGGCTTGAGATCTGGTGGCCAACCGAAGGTACATATTTTCAGCTGACCTGAAAAAAAAAACGGTCAGTTTGTTTGTTTACAGACTGCTGGACAACGAATGTTTTCTCATCGGAGAAAACCAAATTCCACATCACCACATTCCCACCAGTTCACCACAGTCGGCCAAGCGAAGCAAATCTTTAGCTCTTTTTAGTCTATTTTCTTTCTGTTGCGGTGTAAGTTCTTGCACTTTTTGGAATTTCAATCGCTTTACCCGAACTCATTTTTCAATATTTGCCGAATGGGATATTGCGATATATTCAACTCACGAGCCATTTTTCGGCCATCGCGACGAGGGTTTCGATCAAGTCGCTTTTTTACTTTTCGAACCATTTCTGTTTTCCTCCATCCATTTTCTTGACGTCGGGTTACTCTACCAATGTCACTATAACGAGCGATGGTATGAGACATAAAAGATTCATTCACATTTAAATGCTGGAGTGATCCACCGATAGCCACTTGTGGTTTTCCAGCCAAGTATATAGAAATCACACTATCACGCTTGAATTCTTTTTTTTTTTTTTTTTTTTTTTGGAAAATTCTCACCAAAATGCTTTCGAACGTTTTTAGCAATTGGTCTGTTCCAGAACTGCAAGAATTTGAAAGTTTTTACTTCGATAACCGATTTTCCCTTTATTCAAATATAATGAGCTTTCACTGGAATAATTTTAACTGCTGTCGGACGAGTGGCTTTGACATGACAGCAGTCTGAAGTTGGTTGCAGTTTTAACATCTCACCCTGTATGGTCGCCATATACCATCTTTCCCAGACCAACCTTGTCGCAACATTTTTAGTTTCCAGATATTTCTGTCGACTTTTTTACATTTCAAAAATAAATCATTCAAACAATTCTACATCATGACCTCAAATTATAAACCTATAACCTAATTCCAACAGTTTTAAATCCAATTAGAAAAAAAACTAAACTGCGAAATAAAAGAGTTAAAACACACAACATGAATATTCGTTTGTAAATTATATCAATCAATCAACTGTTCATCAATTTGCGAAAATAAAAAATAACTCTGTGGTAAAAAAAGAAAAAAAAACATTGATTTATCCGACAGCTGGCAAAAAAGACAACAGCGAAACGGAATGGAAACAACACATTTTGATTAGTTGCAGAAGCAAATTGCATTAAGATTTGGTAACATAACCAAACATTGCCGATGAATGTTCGATATTCGATCTGACTGACAAATCACATTCAATTTGTATAAATTTATATCATCATATCACGATGATTGATATGAAATTCAATTCCAAATCGGGTAGTTTTTTCTTTATTTTTGTTTATTTCAAATGCAATTCACCGAGAATTTGATAGCGAGTGATGGTTCATTGATGATGGCTGGAACTGAAAGCAATTCCATTATCGCCAATTTTTTTAGTTTAAAATAAAATAAAAAATATAATCCTTTGAATAAATAATATTTGTTTTTTTCATAATGAAATTTTGAAATGTGAAAAAATAAATAATCAAATATCAAATTATAGCCCACTGAGAAGCTGTTGATGTAATTTTCAACCATCGAAATGTTAATATTAGTTTCTTCCTTCCCCGATATTTACCCTGCTCTTTGGTGAGGAATCAAAAGAATTAAGAAATGATTAGAACTTTAAAAGTTGGACCGAATTTCTATAAATATTTTTTAAGCACTGCAGTACTCAAAAGGAGAATTTACTATGAAAATGTTAAAGGATTATAATGAAGAAAGGCTAGGAAATAATTTTACATGCCAATAAGCATTGTTTTTTTTTTTTGATAATTTTTTTAAAGACTATCTGATTGTGAATATTTTATTTTTTAATCGACAAGTATTTATTATATATGTTTTTGAGGACTATAAGAATAATATTACTAAGGCTTCCAGGACAATAACCATGAAATGGTTCTAATTTTTTTTCTTCATAATATTAATATATTATATATATATATAAAAATATTTTTTTCACGGAATTTATTTTTAATTTTTTTTTTAAGAATTTGCTTAAAGAATGTAATCTCGGACCTCTTCTGAATATATCCTCAAGGACTATTACTGTCGATAAGAATAATTTAATACAATTTAAATTTTTTATTTTACATTTTTCAAGAATATTTTTGAAAGGATTTTGAACGTGTATTTTTACAGATAAGGATATTGAGCCGTTGTTTTTATACATATTTTCCAAGAATATACGGTAAAGGATTTCGGCCCTGTATTTTCATTAACATTTTTCAAATGGGATTTTTAATAGCATTCACCACATAAATCGGGAACTACAAACGTGGATTTGTTTTTTAGAGGACGTCAAGGACTATAATCTCGGAAATTGTATTCAAGGCCTTTTAAGACTAAACCGGAGTTTAATTGTAGATATTTCATAAATATTTTTTTCAAAGGATTTTTTTTTTTTTTTTTTTTTTTGAAATGACCATAAATCCGGTTTTATAAATAATTTGACGAAGACTTTTAGGATTTTTTATAAATATTTTTTTTTTTTTTTGGCATTTTTAGGGATGGTGATCTTGGACATTTTGTACATATTTTTTCTAAAACTTTGTGGATTAAAACTGTAGACTTTTAAATAATATTTTAACTTCCTGCAATAAATATCAAACTTCCCGAAAAATATTAATAAACAAAAGTATCAAAATCTTAGAAAGTCTTATAAACAAGTAAGAAAAGGCTACAAAACCCTTATATCTAAATCCATTTTGGAAGATTTCGCTTTTAAAATGATATCATAGAGTACTGCCCAGATATTACACTTATCTTTTTGACCAGTGACATTTGCCCAATATTAACGCACTCTATCAGATTTTTTTTTTTGGTTCATTTGACCCCTAAGCATTTTGCAATCATCCCCAAATGTAAGAGGCCCATTGTATCTCTACATTTTGACCCATCTACACGATTTGCTTGTCTACGATATTTGGCCATATTGGTCAACTAACTCAGCCTTAAAAATCCAGAAGTTCGCCTTTTGTGTATTTTGTTAGTTATTTTCATCGTTTCGGTAGAATGGAAATGTTGGTATTTTTTCACAAGAAAAATAGTGACCCATTCTTCCCTCTGTCCTAAACTCTAACTTCATGTGAGATTTCGTGTCCTTCGGTTTCTATTTGTGACCTTTATAACGGCTGCAATATTAGTAACATTTTCAGTTTTTGGTCCATTTCAACCCCAAATATATTGCGGACGTCTTTAAAATAAATAGGCCTAGCCCTTCTGAGCTTAACCCCACCCTTATGTGCGTGCGAGACCGACTATGTTATACCCTACAACATGCTTCTAACATGCCCCTTATGTCCAAATCCATATTGGAAGATTTCTCTTTTAGAATTAGGAAATTTTTGAAATTAGGATACTTTTGAAACTAGAATTTGGAATGTCCCTAGTCATTTGCCCAATATTTATGTACTCTGTCGTGATGTTAGTTGTTGTATTCGATTTTACGGCTAAATATAATCCAATGGTCATGCAAAATGCCAGAATTCTTTCCTGTCCTTAACTCTCTTCTCAGGCGTGTCGATTGGCTTCCATTGTGTGATCAGGACATTTTTTCTGTTTTTGGTTCATTTGAACCCTTAAATATTTTGCGATCATCTCCAAAAGCAAGAGGCCTCTCTGTATCCCTAAATTAAGACTCATCTATATAATTTGCCACTAGTTCGCCTTTGGTGAATTTCGGATATCGCCTGTAAGTAATGCTGGTATTTTTTCACACAAAATTAAAGGTCAATTGTACCCGCTGTCCTAAACTCTAGCTTTATGCGAGATTTCGTGTCATTTGGTTTCGATTTGTGACCTTTATAACGGCTGAGCCCAATCCTACCCTTGTGAAAATTTTCGTGAGGATCGGACGATATTTTCAATCCTTATATAAAAACCCCAACCTGTGTTGTAAGGTGAAAAAACATTACAAAATATTATAAGTCAAATTCAAAAAATCGCATGCGATAAA